TCTTGCATTGTTGACATGAAGACGAAAATGAACTTCCAAAAACAAAAAAACAACATCTGCCGATAGATCTTGATCTAAGTTCGTGCCAATATGCATTGCAAAAGTAAAAGAAGAGTCCGTATATGGAGCTTTTGCGAAGCATTCATCACACGCGAAGCCGGTTTCAATCCATTTTAATGTATATATTGTACAAAACTGCCATGTATGTTAATAACGCGCGATGGCCGAGAGGTCTGAGGCGCTGACTTAAGATACATCACCTTTTGTACGCAAGAGTTCGAATCTCATCTTCGACCAAAAAAAAAAGTAATTTTTATTTTTTATTTTTTAGGCTATTTTTTTTCGGCATATAAAAGTATTAATGACTGCTTTAATATTCGAGAAATAGTTGTTTTTATACGCTCTCGGGAAGGTTACAATTGGGCTATTCCCCTCGGCACGCCTCGGGTAATAGCACAATTCTAACCTTCCCTTGAGCGTATAAAAACAACTATTTCTCTCAAAGCAGTCATTAATACTATATTTTATAATAATTACAATAATAATTTATATTAACGATAATAATCATGATAAGGATAATAATCATGATAACAAACATAATAATTACAAAAATAACAATAGTAACACCACCAACCATAATAATAATTGTTGTCATTATTATTGTGATACTGCTTCTAGTACTACTCCTTCTACATGTACTAGGAAGAAGGAGGGGAAGAGGAAGAATCTTATTGTTTATTTTCTGTATTATCGAGGCATACAAATGCACAGGGAGGTAAGAGAGGGAAAAGTAAGGCGACGAAGTGGGAGAGAGAGGGAGAGAGAACGAGAGGGGGTAGCCTATGGCTCGGGTTCAAATTCAGTTCTCTTTAATTTATTTGACCCAGTACTGCATGATGATCATAATTTTATCTACCATGTGATTGCCATGTGTACGCCACATCGAATAGCACTAGCTCACATTTATAATGTTGTCAAGAACTTATTGGCATGCAGCCAGTAGATTTTCATCATGTGTTTGATCTTGTATTGAAAAAAGATCAAACACATCATCATAATCTACAGAGTGCAACCAAAAATTTCTTAACAACAATTGAAATTTCTTTCAGGAAGCCTAACACTAAAGCTGTTTTTGATTCAGAGAGCATCATAGAGACGATGAACAAATAAGAATATTAATACATTCACTTCTATTTTCCCCGCCAAATAATCCGAACAAAAGATCCAATCGGGGGTAATCAACTGTTAAACGAATCTATCGTAAGTCCTTGAAAAATTAATTAATACTGCTTGTCAAATATTATTGAAGAACAGCAAAGGCAAACGTGATAATTGTCGCTACAATTCAGAAATCATTGCTTGCATTGCTTTTCTCTCAAAATTACCGTGAGATATCAAGCTACATAGAACTATGATCGACAAAAAAAGACATTGTCTTGAAAACAGTAAGAAACATTAGAACTTGAATAAATAAAACATAATGCAAATAAATAAGACTAGAATGAATAGAACACAAGTTCATTTCTACCATTTAAATCATCACTTACCAAATACCTAAGCAAAATTCGAACCAGATCATGCATTTAATGGTAAGCATAAAGACAATGATTCATGACAATTGTCAATTGTCGTGAGTTTATCGTCTATATAGACGTATTGCAAAAGATAATCAGGATAATAAGGATCAGAATGATACCTCTACTACTAAGCCTACTTCTACGTGACTATACTATACTACTGCCATTGTAGATTATGCTGATAATACAGATGATAATAATGATATGATAACAATTATAACTAGACTTTAATTCGTCACTTCGACGAATTAGGTGAATCGTATGCTATTTTTGTATCATGAAAGTGTGCCGATGATGATCTAATGATAATATTCATAAATACGATAATGACGATATTGATGATGATGATTTATTTGTTTTAAATGACAATGATTAAAAGTGGTATAGCGCCCCCTTCAGGTATTCGATAGACAATTGTTATATGATTAAACTATTAATTTACTAAACAAGCTCAAATTTTCGCCTGATTGCAGAGCCTACCAATCATTGAACTGATATTTCGACGCACTACATACACAACATAATGAACAAGTCTAGACTGGAATGTACACTGTCGCTCAAAAAGGTGGAATATTTTTTTTTTATTGCAATTCATGGAATTATTTTAAAAATAATTTAAAAATGATAGATCTAGATAATAGTATACATTCTCAGATTTTATTGAATAATAATTTGCCAATGTGTGTTTTGCGTGACTGCTAAAGCATGTGTATGCTACTATGCTTATCAACTAGGGGACCTATGCACTTAAGTCATAAATGACAGTAATGAGGATTAACGCCCCACAAAAGGGCACTATTATGCCACATCGATACGGTTTTGATCCTGGGGCCTCACAGTTACGAGGCCATTGCTTTGTCACTGAACCATGACTGTACGCAGCGGGGGCTAGGGTAGGGGGCAGTTTCCATAAATTTAAAAAAAAACACAGAAAATGCAATAAATTTTCAATAATTTATTGTATTTAACCCCGGTGCCTAACATAAAAAAAAAATCTGTGTGCCCATGCCTTGAGCCATAATGCATAGCCGTCCAGAGGATTTTTTTTATGTTTCAAGGCATTTGATTGAGCCATTTTCAAGTTATCGTGCTCACAAAAAAAGCTCTAACGAAAACATGAGGTGATCTGTATTATATACAGCCCACCTGATAAATTGAAGGCAATTCTAACGAAATTATAAGGTGGTCTGTACGATATACAGCCCACCTGATAATGTTACCCATATTATCCCGCATTATCATGTGTTACTTTGGGTTGTCATGGAAACGGAACTAATCCACACACCACAGCTACAAATCACAGTGTGTGTACAATTTTCGGTTAAACATGAAAGAATACATAACTACACTAAATTTGCTTTGATAAAACAATCAATATTGTATGACATGCAAATCTTTGTGAAAACCAGTTCAATTACATTTTATATTGGAATAACTGTTTGTTTCTATCATATAATGGAATGTCCATTTCCAGATTCATTGAATATAAAATAATTTATTATTTATATTTATAATTTCAGTCCTACACTGAAGTCTTTCAATGCAGGACTAAAATGTCACTTCTTTGAAGAGGCATGTTCTTTTGAGTTCTGGAGAATGACAAGCTCTGATTGTTCTGGCTTTCCTCTTCTGATCAGTCACTGTCCTGGTCTTGAAACTTTTGCTAGCTAGCATTCGATAACAAAACACTAGCGTCTTGAGTCGCTTGAATCTTATCATTTTGTTTACAATTGTTCCGACTAAATTATATATGTATATCTCAAAGCATTCGCTTGGAACCAGTTGAGGCGTATCCGGACACCTATCCCCCTGGACATCGTCTCCAGATAATTAACCATAGGATAACCACCCTAACCCCTATGACAACTACCCCCTAGGATAGTTGTCCTAGAGGGTGGTTGTTTGAGGGTAGTTGTCTGGGGGAAGTTGTACTAGGGGGTAGTTGACATTTTATGTATGTTATTACCAAAGAAAAAAGGTGTCAGTCAGTCACTCAATAGTGTCTGACAGTGAAATCTAGAAGGTAAACGGGTTTCCTTGCATAGTTTGAATACTAGGAAAAGGGCTGCAAAAGGGACATCTTTATCTTTAACCCTAGCTAGCCAGGGCTAGGGGGGGGGGGGGGGGAGGGCTTCTAAGCCCCCTTTTTCAACGGCCGATCGCCGCGAAAATTTGCATGCATGTCAAGTGTATAGGTTATTTTAAAAATATCACTCATTTGCATATTTATGCAAATAAGGTAATAAAATTCACATTTGTACCCATAAATCATATATTCTTCATATTCAAACATTAGTTTTTACTACAATAATTTTACTCTTATGAATTTTTTTAATGTTTTAATCATATGGCTCCGTTTAGTCTCATTTCACAACGCCCCCTATCGTCAGAGCATGATCAGAGCCAGCAGCCTAACATGTTAGCCTATAGACGTTTTTTAAAAAAATCGTTAAAAATTTATTTTTTGTTTAAACGAAAAGCACATCCACCCCGACGTACGTTATCACTAGCTCTTTCATTGGAGCCCTCATGTCTCATTGACTTTTGAAAGTTCACCCACCGTAATTTTTCAAAATAGGTTGCAAGTTCGTCATTGCCTATAATACACATGTAAAACAAGTCTAACTTTGGATTCAGTTTACCAAGCGATTTGAAGATTATAGGTCGAGCACACGGAACATAAAAAGCATGAATTATCATAGATCACTTCTGCCTATTTCATTATGTCCATTTCATCCAACCCCCCACCGTAATTTTTCCATTTAGTAAAAGCAAACATTTTGCCGAGTTTAGCAAAAACATGAATATTCATGAACGGTCAGACAATACAGCCTTTTAGTACGTAACGTATAGTGAATGGGAATGGGCGATGATCCGTTCAGGAGGTAGAGGTCAGTGGTTTGTGCTGGCAATGTTCACGCGAGCGAAAATGAGACAATCGGAGCAATATGTGATGTAATAAACACCTAACTATAAGCAAGACCAAATAACCAAAGTTTTATCTCTTTTTTTTTCGAAAAATGAGATTTCTATAATTATGTTTTGTACACTAATCGCGAAAAAAAAAAGCAATTTTCGGGCTGACATGCAAAGACAAAAGGTCACGTGGCTTTTTAACAGTATTTCCAACTTTCTAAACATTTAATTTAAACGATGCGCAAGACTCGAAAAAAAAATCATAACATTTCATTGCAAGATTCTTTGTCGTTGAACAAATTATCGCGAAAAATGTAGGGGGGGGGGCTTCTAACCCCCTCCCCCCCCCCCGTGCTAGATATGATTTTATTTCATTATTCTATCAATTCCAATAGGGTATTACAGTTGTCCTTGAGTTGGTCTCTCGAAAATTTTTGTGATCGCTTTTTAGGATCCTGTGAGAGTTGTTTTCTGCATAATGAATACTATCGCCCTTTATTATTGCAGGCGTCATCGGGTAGGTGTCTATCTACGAAACCGGCATCTTCCTGACCCCATGCCACCATCTAGCTGGAATGTGACGTCAGTGCCTTCCTACAACGGGAGCATCGTAGCGAACAATGTTTCCATGCCAACAAGAAGTCATCCAGGAAACTGGTCCTCAAAGATTTCAGCTTCATCTCGCCCCCCATCATGTTATCTCGTTCAAAACATCGCGTACATAAAGACGTTAAAGACAGGTTCGACGAGCGTACAGACAATCATTAACAGATACGGGTTCTTTCATAATTTGTCATTCATTCTTAACCGCCGGTCGTCATCGAATGGCCATTTCTACCATCTCCCGTTCACAGAGAAAATGGCAGAGACCCATTTCTTACCTCCCATTCCCGTCGCAGCTGATGACTATCCTAATTATAGAAACTATAACATGATGGCGGTCCACGTTCGCTACCAGCGGGATGTGATGGAGAAATACTTCGCACCAGACACACAATACATGACAATCATCCGAGATCCGGGAGTGCAGTGGGAAAGTGCCTTTAATCATTTCCAATTCCACGATGCTATCCTTCGTGATGTAACCGTCAACTTGAAGTCAAATGCCTTGGGTAATTCCAGCCTTGTACATGGGAATCTTGCTTTCCGAGGATGCAGAGAAGAGCTATTGCATAAATTAGTGAAAAGGGGAACTGGCAAGGGCAAGGTCAAGGGCAAGGTCAAGGGCAAGGTCAAGGGAAATACCATAAAACAAAGGAATTGTTCAATACCAGAGCTAATTGAGGAGTTTATGGCAAATCCCAAACATTACCGGGAGCGTTTACGTTTCATGACCTGGGAGGGGGTGATGGGTAAAAGATGGGCGTACGCACGAAACAACCAGATTTACGAGTTGGGTATGGAACCAGAGCGCCATGATAATATGACCGCTGTCAAAGAATGGATATTTAAACTTCAAGACGAGTTAACGCTTGTCCTTATCAACGAGTACTTCGATGAATCACTCTTGATCATGCGAAAACTCTTCTGTTGGACCTTTGAAGACATCGTGTACATTGCGAAGAATGTTCGAGTCAATGCTGGGGGTATCGGCATTACGGATGCCCTGAGGGACAAAATACGCGAGTGGAATTCCGCGGATACGCTCTTGTACGCGCATTTTAATCGCACGCTCTGGCGCCGTATTGCCGACTACGGTCCGGGCTTTGAATCCGATTTAAACTACTTCAGAATTTTGTTGGGAAAGGTATTAAGTAAATGCACGCAGGAGGCTGAAAAGACCATTTGGAATGGGCTGCATCTTTTCGGCCATCGGGAGCGCGTACCGCGTGGCAATGCTAGCTTGTTCTGCCGGACATTAGCTGAATCCAAAACGAAATTACACTACAGAATTTATTGTAGGCAGGATATCAAACGTGACTCGAAAGCTTGTCAGAAACCCCCCATCCCCCCAAAAAACAAAATTAAAACAATTACAAAAATTAAAAAAAATTATTAAAAAAATTGATTGATTATTGAATTGGTTTATTTGATTTTATACCTGCATTTTACAAAATAATACAAAATAATATACAAACTAAGTACATATACATTGTATGTTATTAGTAAAAGTCAAAATACGTTCATAGTCGTATTATGATATAAATCTATTAAATACTTATGATACCTTTAAAAAACATGCATATTTGACAAATCATTAACAAAATTTTTTAAAAAAAGGAGACCACCACTTAAGCCTTGGCTTGAACAAGAGAGTGGCCTCAGGAAGGGAACCAAAATGGGCGACCAAACTATGATATATATGTAATCGGAAAGAAATTAAATATAACAGCCATATAATGGAAGAAATCGTTTTTTTCTAAAGATCTAAACGAAATGCGTTAAGTTTAAATATGCAAATAATGTATATACGTGTATGTATTTTGTGAAACGCGTTGTTTATCTTTTTTATATGTACGTGCATGTGCAAGTGTGTGCGCGAGTGCTTGCGTCTTGAAATCTTTTTAATTATAATTTGTATGCTGATAACAATATACGCTTCACGGCATCCTTGGAAGAATTCATCGTAGGACATGATTTTACAGTAGTTCGGGAGATTTTTCCATAGGTCAAGGCCATGACGTCGGACAGATTCATGTGCAATTACCAATTATATATATATCATAAGTTTGGTCCCCCATATACATGTAGGTTTCTTTCCTAAGGCCGCCATCACGTTCAAGCTCTAGCTTTAGATAACGGTCTCCATCACTCTTATATGGATGATTTAAAACAATGTAAATAGTCATTCCATGTAAGATATTCATCAATTATCACTTCGAAAAATCGTAAGTTAAGCTTTTGTTTTCAAGGGATTGGGTATATTTGCCTCAGACTTTGAAAAAAATCCTGTATTAAGCTAATGCTGCTATCATAATTATTAACACTTATGTCAGTCAGGAATCCCATGACTTTTAAAGCCGAGCGTCTTTCTGATTATCAAGATATTGATTGGTATACGAAATTTCAAAAACCGTTTTACCATACTTTTTGTTTTTAACACTACATTGTATTGTAGGAAAAGAGTATGGTAAAACCGGTCACTCAAAGATTTTGACTTTTTCAGGTACTTCATGATCATTTTTTAGGACTTCAATATTACACCATATCACAGACACTGATAACACGCAGTGTCATGCATATCAAATGTGTAAGTAATCGATCAATATTAATTGTCATATCTTTACCTCGGTGTGCTTTGAGGTGTTTGAAGTGTATAAAACATAATGCTCCGGTTGTCTCATTTTCGCCAGCATAAACATAGCTAGTTCGCGTATATAGCAGACGGCAATCGGCGGATCAGACGCCACTTGATAGTGATTTTGTATGTGAGATTGCTTTGCTAAATATAAAATACAAGAACCTTTTCCATATCTTTAAACTATCATTGATATCTAAAAATTAAACAGTTAGTAAAATAAACATACAAAACAACATAATACAATGAAATACTTGACTGAAAAGTAGGGGAATTTGATGTGGTGCACAATTGCACCCCTCTGTTAATAATCGAATAGTTCATGGTGTTCATGAATATTCATGTTTTTGCTTACCTCGGCACAATGCTTGTCTATACTAAATGGAAAAATTACGGTGGGGGTGGCTGAAATGGACATAATAATCAGAACTGATCTATGATAATTCATGCTTCTTATCCTTCGTGTGCTTGACTTATAACCTTACAACCGAGTGGTAAATTGCGTCCAAAGTTCGACTTGTTGCACATGTGTTGTATAAGCAATGGTGAGCTGGCGACCTATTTTGACCAAATTACGGTGGTTAAACTTTCAAAAGTCATGAGGGTTCCAATGAAAGAGCTAGTGATAACGTACGTCGGGTTGGATGTGCTTTCCGTTTAAACAAAAAATGAATTTTTAACGATTTTGTGTGTGTAAAAGTTCTTAGGCTAACATGTTTATAGGCTGCTGGACTCTGACGATAGGGGGTGTTGTGTTTCTCTGTACAATCCAAACAAGCCATGAAGATTTAGTTGCATCAAGACGATTGGGTGACAGCCGAACAAACCCTTTTTTTAAATGTAAAAACCAAAGTTCGTCATTATATTCTTTAAAGGCTTCCTTGATTTTGTCACTGAATGGAAAGTCATGCAATATGCCCTATCAAAACTTAACTTGAAGAGTGCCACTAAGTTTATTGATTATCGATTTTAAATCGGCAAACAGACCACTTCTCACAGAGCATTTCGTTTTTGTGAAATGAAGATCTTCAGCATGTTCACGTGCGAGAATTTTGCGCGTAAATTGGATAACCAAATCATGACGTTCAAATTCCTTTACATAAAATGTACATACTTGACGACAACGGAAAGCACATTTCTATTCCCTTTTTTTGGGGGGGGGGGGGGGAAGGGTATTAATTTTAGGCCCTTTAATTATAAAAAAAAAAAAATCTGTACCAGTGTAATATTTGATTTATAGTTATGAAGAGTTTGACCATGTTTATCTGGATTCTGTAATCTGTAAACTCTGGTATAGAACATCTTTTAAAATTAATTTTGTTTCTTCAAACACGCACTTTATTTTCCCATACCCCATGTACAACGTGAGAAAAAAATGTGTAACGTTTAATATCTTCAAATCCTTGAAATGGTGCTGGCCTAACTAAGGGTGGGTCTAAGAGTTGTCGATGTGCCCAAAAATATTGTTCTTGCCGACCGGTTATCAGGTCTTATTCTTTTTTGCATCTGCAATAGATGTAATCATTATTTGGCGAACTGTTCTCTGCATTTAGAAAAATCTATACTTAAACTCAAAAACATCTGAACATATTAATTTCCATTTTCATTACAAAGACCTGTCTTTCAAATCATATTATACATATGATACTTTTAGCATTGCTTGATTATAGGAAACAAATACAAAGTATTAGCATATTTGTTACGTTATGAGGGGATCAATAAACTATCATTTGAATCAACGTATTATTAACAAAGTAAACCTATAGGCCTACAAGTCTACGCACATTTCATATTTTCATATATTGCTATCTCATTTATAATAACATTTTTAACATGTGATATCATGAAATTCCTGAAATTTCGCTGGCCAAATTAAAAGTGTAAGATTTAATGATGTGCCTAAAACAAGTGTTATTGCCCAAAAATTCTGTAATATCATTTCCACTGGGCTTATTCAATGTATCTATGTGCATTTATATTTTTCTGCCTGTTATAATTATAGGCATGGTTGCCTGGTCCTGTTCTCCCCGGTAAATGAGCAGAATGCAATTTGTTTCTTTTAGAGATACTTAACCAAGACCATATTTGTAACGCCTTCACATAATATCTAATGGTAAGCTTTAGTTAATACAGGGATAATTATATTCAAAGTTACGGTCACTTCTCTGCTCTAAACATATTCCAGTGCATCATTATCCACCAAGAGTTAGATAGTAGCATTTCACCCTTCTTGTTAATTATGGTTGTGCCACTGACTAGAGGTATATGGTTGAACAGGTCGAAATTGTATTGTTTTATGGTGAAAAGACCAATTCAATATATATCTATTTTGATCAAAAAGCAATCAATATCTCTATACAGTATATGTGAATAGGAAGAAGCAAAGAAGTGTATATGTTTACGAACTTCGTACTTCAAAGAAGTATTTATTTATTTATTTCAACAGGGTAGTTTCATTGAGTTCCACTGGATGGATCTGCTTTTCAAGAAAGCCCTGCATAATTTAATGACGGTATAAAAACATAAGTATAATGTTACAATAATTACAAATTGTACATACATGTGAAATATTAAATTAAACATATATCTTTTAATAATAAGACTAGGCTATTGAATCATACTATATTTTTTTATCAATTATTAAAAAAAAAAGATACTGAATTATTACAATAGCAAAAACACACCTAAAACAAAACACCTAAACAAAAAACAAGTATCATTCATATATGCTGAATGAAAGCTACGACACACTTGTCATTTAGTCAAAACATGAAATTCAACAACTATTAGAAAGTTAATGACGTAAATACTGGTCACTTGGTCAAGGGTTACGTCTCTTTAATAGAGAGCTTAATAATGATAATAATAATAATCAGTTCTTTTTAGCGCATAACACATTACTGGATAGCATGTCCCTTAACCGTTATACAATAGGACAGAGGTATTAGCCAGATTAACTCCTGCACTGCACCCATCCATGGGGCAGGCAGAGAGGTCGTCTTGGCAGGCTTTGGAGTTAAATTATGTTAGCAGATTATCCTTTTGTCAAGTTGGATAATAAATGATACAACTAGTATTTTCGTAAATGTTTTCTGATGTTAGTTTATAATTCGGTAGTGTTCTAAATGATGCGTTGTCTGATGAATTAAAATGCATTCTGTAAGGCATCGCAATTATCTGCTTAATGATCAGTAGGTTGATTTTTAGTGAGTTAGATAAACACTTGATTCTGATTTGGTAATAGTAATTTGAGAAGATTTGGATGTTATTATTTTATCGGTTATATGACTTGTAATCTTTAGAAGTTATAATTTTATAATGCGTTGTGTTTAACTTTTGATAATCGCATTTGGCGAAACTGCTATAAAGTAATATTTTTAGAGATATAGTTTGCGGTTATGGTCATTGAACTGTCTTTAGTTTTGTGTTTCAGAGTAAATTCACAATGATTTGTAATAATTATTATTCCTTTAGGTGTTGGGAAACACATGCAAGAAGGGGGTACGTACCATTAGAGGAAACTATGTGAACGTATGTTTGATTGTTTGATAAAGTTCACTTGATGGTTGTAATCAGAGGCGGCGCTCCCGGGGCGTGCCCCATTTTTTCAGGTAACCCCAAAGTGCCCCTTTTTACAAAGGAAAACTTCCCCTTTCTTTTGTAAAATGCTCCTGTTAGATAAACACTTGATTCTGATTTGGTAATAGTAATTTGAGAAGATTTGGATGTTATTATTTTATCGGTTATATGACTTGTAATCTTTAGAAGTTATAATTTTGTAATGCGTTGTGTTTAACTTTTGATAATCGCATTTAGCGAAACTGTTATAAAGTAATATTTTTAGAGATATAGTTTGCGGTTATGGTCATTGAACTGTCTTTAGTTTTGTGTTTCAGAGTAAATTCACAATGATTTGTAATAATTATTATTCCTTTAGGTGTTGGAAAACACATGCAAGAAGGGGGTACGTACCATTAGAGGAAACTATGTGAACGTATGTTTGATTGTTTGATAAAGTTCACTTGATGGTTGTAATCAGAGGCGGCGCTCCCGGGGCGTGCCCCATTTTTTCAGGTAACCCCAAAGTGCCCCTTTTTACAAAGGAAAACTTCCCCTTTCTTTTGTAAAATGCTCCTGTCCCTTCTTATAAGTGCCCCTTTACCTGGCGATGAGTACACTCCTCAATTCGTCAAAGCATTCCCTTCACATCCTCATAAATTTCCATAATTTTCACCTCTGATAATTGCCCCTATTCAAATCTGAGAGGTTCACATTTTATTTTGACAAGGGTCCCTTTTCTTTTTTAATACTAACTATAATGATAATAATAATGCGGATTGATAAGGCGGTGAATACGAATACCGTCTCTAAGCGCTTAACAGATTTTATTATCCCGGTCATCGGATTAATTGACGCACAATCTGCCCCCCACCCCTTCTGATAAGTGCTCCTTTTCTTCTTTGATGAGTATCCCTGTTCACTTCTAATAAG